ACCCTGGGCCTTCTCAAGTCTCTTTTCCTCGGCAACTCTTCTCCTCTTCTGTCTCTCTGTGGCAGCCTCCTGTCTCTTGGACTCCGGAATATCTTGGCTAGAAATCATGAGAGCCCCTATACTGCCAGTCTTCTCTCTCTGTGCTTTGATAAATGCCAGTTCCATCACAGGAATCTTCAGTTCACGCTTGCAAATACAGGAGATGTGGGCCTCGGATTTACAGTCACGATCGCATCCAAACTCAGGACAGAGAACAATTGGGCACTTGCAAGTAATTATGTCAAATAACTGGTCCAGTTGCTTGGCAAAGCTGTCCTTAACTGCAAGTTTTCCTCTCCCAAGAGAGATATCTCTTGCCTTTTCCCAACTGGCTAGCAGTCTCTCACTAATCTTCTTCTGACTTGTTATGACTGGAGGCTTGAACTGAGCGTTAGCCAGAGTGTACTGTGCCAAGACAACTTTGGTCATATCACTGGCAATGTCTTTGTTTGTGTAAGTTCTTTGGTTCTTTTCACTGATTTGCCTGATTAAAACACCGTATCTCAAAGCATCTCTCAATGTAGGCAACTCCGACTTCAGGAGCTCTCTCCCAGACCCAAGATAGTGACTGAGATGGCTGGATTTTTGGTTCCTCGTCCTGACACAAGCAGCCATCGCAAATATTATCAACTTATAAATGCATCAGAATCTGAAACAGAAAAAAATATTGTTAGTTGGGTTGTTAAAGAATGAAGTCAGAAAGCAATGTTCACTATTTAATTGTAATGCACTAATGCAGCTGTACGTTAGATTTTCGATAAATTTCACGCTAAAATTTACCTAGCAAAAGGTTACAAAATATTGAAATTGAAATTATTTTCTGTTTATAAACACTAAAATCTACCAAAAAAGTGATGGGCCATTAGTTTTAGCTGATCTTCCCTCCTATGACACACCCTATTAGGGCAATCATCGGGTCTCAAGTGGTTGATGATCATCAACCATGAAGAGCGACTACAGACAATGTTCTGTGAGGCAGAAGTGATCGTTCACAGCCGCCCAATAACTGCAGTGTCAACTGATGCCAAGAACTTGGCATCCACTACATATGCTTGGACGTGACATTTATAGGTTTTGACCATATCAATCAATAAACGTTGAGTGAGTCCACGTTGCCGGTTTTTCTCACCCATAAGACGTGACGTCATCTAACTGTCGAGCCATTCGGCAGTTTAACCTTGGTTAGGTCGATGAAGACCATGTACAGATCACGACACTGTTCTTTGCACTTTTCCTGTATCTGGCGGGCAGCAAAGATCATGTCAGTGGTGCCACGTGATGGTCTAAAGCCACATTGAGATTCTGGGTTTTCCACCTCAGGAAGGAGGCTCTTTAGGAGGACTCAGGTAATAATCTTGCCAGCTACCGACAGCAGTGAGATCCCGCGGTAGTTGCCACAGACTGACCGGTCTCCCTTGTTCTTATAAATACTGACGAGCTTGAGGGACTTCCTCCTTTCCCCATATATTTTCCAGGAGAGAGTGAAAACGGCTGGATAAGCAGAGGTCCTCCTGCTTTATACAACTCGGCTGGGATTCCATCAGGACCTGAGGCTTTGTTATTTTTCATCTGTTTGATGGCAGAAGCTACCTCATTCAGGGATGGTGGATAGCTGAGGTAGGTCAGCTCTGGGTCCTGAGGATTCTGCACCTTGAGTGATTTGCCCATAAAATGTTTTAGTGGAATTGAACAATCCGCTCATTTTGTGTTGATCTGCAAGTTTTTGTGTTTCACATGCTTTATTTTTAAACCAGCAGTTCTTTAGATTGCGAAGTTCATGCTGGGTCGCCGATTTCTTCTTGCAGAAGGTATCAGCTTTGGTCAGAGAATGAGGGTTGTTCTGCCAGTCAGTTAAAGCAGCACGTTTATCATCAACGATTATATTAATTTCCGGGTCATTTTCATCAAACCAGTCCTGGTGTATTCTTTCGAGCTGGGCGAGGGTTTTTGTCATGACAGTGTCGAGAATACCCAATTCGGCACTGGAATTTGGGTTGTTTGTTGTCGGGTTGTTTATCAGCCCATGTTCGTGGTGCTCTCTGAGAGCATGTGCTACCGCTGGATTCTCCTAACGCTCAGTGATAAAACCTCTTCTGGAGGCTTGCTGTCTTAGCCGCTTTCGGGAGACGTGAAGTGTTGGTCTGAGCCACGCATGGCTCGGGTGATGAGGACATCTGGGCAATTCCTTTCTCTGACAGTGATGTAATCAATGAGATGCCAGTGTTTGGATCGTGGGTGTTGCCACGAACCCTTGAACTTGTCTGCCTGCCTAAATAAGGTATTGGTGATAGTTAGGTTGTGTGCAGCACACTTGCTGAGGAGGAGTAGGCCTTTGGGATTACACTTGCCTTGTTCATTTCTTCCTATGATTCCCTGATAAATGTCAGCATCTGTGCCAACTGTGGCATTGAAGTCACATCGGAGTACAACCGTATCTTCTCTGGGAATAGAGGTTAGCACTCTGTCAAGGGAGACGTAAGAGGCCTCCTTAAATGTCATCCTCTGCATCCAGTGTTGGGGCATATGCACTGATGAAGCAGGAATGACGTGAGTGATTCAGTGGGACTAGGAGCGTCAGGAGGCGCCCGTTGATCCCAACGGATGGGAAAGTCAACTCCATAAATGTGGCTTATCTCCGCAGCCCGCTTACCCTTCCAGAAGAAGGTATACTGTAGCCGGACCCCGTCTGGGAGAAGGGACTAACCAATGGCTGCTATGTCGATGTTATACCTAGCCAGCTCTTTAGCCACAAGGGTGGTTCTTCTTTAAGGGCGCTCATTTGTGCCAGTATCCAGAAGGGTCCTAACATTCCATGCAGCCACCATAAGAGGTTGTATAGTTTGTTTTTGTTTTGATCTGTGATTATGCTTGTGTTTTCGACTGCATAGGAATGACCTTACTGGGTGTGGCAGCCCAGTCACGTTGTTTCTTTAGGAAGGCTATGTTTATGCCACCTTTTCTAGCCCCCTTCTCATATGGGGTGTGGAGAGTGGCTCCTCTTAAGGGCTGCTCAGTCCCACAGACAGGGCCGGATTGCACTGCTGCCTAGATCCCAGTGCATAAACGACCATCTTATCTATGCAGCTCGTCCGTCGCCATAGGACTTTTGGGGGATTAGGATTTTGATGATGATGAGAAGCATGATGAGCTGGATGATGGCTGCGCGTGAGTTGATTTATGTGGTGAGGAAGGAGTGTTGGCTGCACCTTAACACTAACATAATGCTGCCACACTAGGCGCATTACACCACCCTGTGCACACACACACACACACACACACACACACACACACACACACACACACACACACACACACACTCGACCACCGACCACTGACGGGTCAAGACGGGTCAGACGCACCTGGCGCTGCTCAGCAGCAGCCACGTCAACTGTTATGTTGGCCCATACCAACTCCCTCCCCTGAACCCTCCTCCCCACCGGAATATCAACAAGTTCTCGCCAGAAGTTACAATTTCATTTGGGAAAGGAATGGAACCAGTGTTGAATAGTGGTGAACAGTGCTTAAGTCAGTGAAAAACAACTCGGCAGTTGAGTCTTACCCAAGCTAACCTTCACACAGTGAGGTCCCAGGTACCCAGTGATAATTCCCCTGAGACTCCACGATAGAGAAGCCTGGGACCACACCTCACCCACTTGAGTGAGTGAAGTCCTGTGACAACTGACCACGTGGTGTCCCCATGATGCTACGACACCACATATTGAATGAGTTGCTACAGCATCATGTGAAGTTCCTCATAACACCATCTGTGAGGGAATTACTACACCACGTGATGCCCCTCATAACACCATCTGTGAGGGAATTACCACACCACATCAGGCCCCTCATACACCATCTGTGAGGGAATTACTACACCACATCAGGCCCCTCATAACACCATCTGTGAGGGAATTACTACTCCATGTGATGCCCCTCATAACACCATCTGTGAGGGAATTACTACATCATCAGGCCCCTCATACACCATCTGTGAGGTAACTACTACATCATCAGGCCCCTCGTAACACCATCTGTGAGGGAATTACTACACCATGTCAAGCCCCTCTTAACGCCATCTGTGAGGGAGTTACTACACTACGTGTCTGCTGTTCAACACCTCAGCTCACATGATCTACGTGTGTAAACATTAATCTGTATGTTCACTGTATGTTCCTTCACCTTTCTCTAATGAAGGCTTTTGTTAAACCACCAATGTATGTAATAAGTCATTTATGTCCAATGTATATTTTCAGCCTTCGGGCTGCAAACTTTTTCAATAAACCGTTTATTATTATTATTACAACACACACACACACACGAAGCTAATATTGGTATTCTTTCCTGGTTTTGGTGTTGAAGGTGGTGTTAGTGGTGATGTTAGTGGTAATGGTGGTGGTTTTTGGTGGTGGTGTTAGTGGTAATGGAGTTGGTTGTGGTGTTAGTGGTGTTTGTGGTGGTGTTAGTGGTGTTGGTGGTGGTGTTAGTGACACTGTGGCTTTTGCTATTGCAGACTGGTTCTCTTCTGCTGTTATAATTATTTTCTTGTGTTGCTCTTGTCGACAGTGTTGTTCATCACCTCTGTTTGTCTGTTGCATTATTGTAGGGATTTCGCAAGAGTATTTTATATAAGTGTGCATATATTGCAAGTTTAAAATGCACGTATATTGCAATGGTAAGAAATGGTGTGATACTGATATTGTAATTGCCTTAACACTGAACTAATAGTCATCAAAGTTTGACATGCAGTTTCAGAGCCTTAATAACACAGAATTAAATTATCGTCAGCGAAAAAAAACCACTTGTATATCCGTACTAGCTCGAGATTTGACTTGAGCCTCGTAAATAACTTGAGACTTGACTTGGTACTCGACAAAAATTACTTGTAGACATGTCTGGATTAAACCATCTTTCTCAGAGGGTTAAATTATCATTCTCAAAGAATTAAACCAATGTCCTCGAATAATTCAATCATCGTCCTCAAAGGGCTGAACTGTTAACGTAGATGGTTTAACCCTTCAAAGACAATGGAATTACCCTTTCAGGACACAAAAATGATGGGTTAACCCAAAGAGGAAAGTGATTTAACCCTTTGAACACGATGGTTTACACTTTTCAGGACGTTATGGTAATGGTTTAACAGTAAGAGGAGAATGCTTTAACTTGTACATAAACACAAAACACAAAATATGAATAATACCAACTGTTAATAGATCCCAACCACCTGTGAGACAGCTGGTGGTGTTGTGACCTACCTGCGAGACAACTGGTGAAGGACGGGCACTCCATTGTAACTACAGTTTCCCAGGTGGGCGTATTCGAGACCATCTACAGCTGGTTCAAAGTCCTCAGTTGGTCGCATCTCAAAAGTGAAGTTGAATCTGCGTCGTTCTGAGTATTTTTCTGTTGGCGGAAAAGAGACAATCTGTGTGAGAGTAAGACCAGCTGAGTGACAGTAAGACCAACTGTGAGAGAGTGATACCAGCTGTGTGAGAGTGAGACCAGCTGTGTGAGAGTAAGACCAGCTGTGTGAGAGTGATACCAGCTGTGTGAGAGTGAGACCAGCTGTGTGAGAGTAAGACCAGCTGTGTGAGAGTGAGAACAGCTATGTGTGAAAGAAATACTTGCATATATACTGTACAGTGTCAGAGTTCCATAATAAGAAGTTTCAAACCCCGGACTGTTCACTGAAGCGCGAGTTAAACAGGCAATTGGGCTTTACCTAATGGTGGAGCTGGTGTTGGATTAGACGTTAGTGGTGGAGAAGAAGGTGGTGGTGGATGAGAAGGTGGTGATGGAGATGAAGGTGGTGATGGATGAGAAGGTGGTGATGGGGGAGAAGGTGGTGGTGGAGGAGAAGGTGGTGAAGGAGAAGGTGGTGGTGGAGGAGAATGTAGTGGTGGAGGAGAAAGTGGTGGTGGAGAAGAAGGTGATGGTGGAAGAGAAGGTGGTGGTGGAGAAGAAGGTGGTGAAGGAGAAGGTGGTGGTGGAGGAGAAGGTAGTGGTGGAGGAGAAAGTGGTGGTGGAGGAGAAGGTGGTGATGTGGGAGAAGGTGATGTGGGAGAAGGTGGTGGTGGAGGAGAAGGTGGTGGTGGAAGAGAAGGTGGTGGTGGAGGAGGAGAAGGTAGTGGTGGAGGAGAAGGTGGTGGTGGAGGAGAAGGTGATGGTGGAAGAGAAGGTGGTGGTGGAGGAGGAGAAGGTGATGGTGGAGAACTGGACCTGCTGCTGGTGGGATTGTTGGCGGAAAAGTTGTTGGAGGAAAATGGAGTGTGTTCTAGGTGTAGTAAGTTGTGGTTTTACGAGGATGGTGGAGATGGGAATTATTCATACATACATACATACTGTATATATAAGCTTTGGGTAGAGCTCTCTTTTAACTTGGCTTATAAATAAATAAGTTAAGGGGTTAAGTTACAAACCCAAAATGGTCTTTCTCCATTTATTGGTAAATTAAAAAGGTCATATGCTATTAGTAAATGCAACGTAATTATCACTGTAAGCTGTGAGTGTTAGTTAAGGACAGGGCTCAGCTTGACTGAGTTAAGTCACCCGTCCGTAGAGGCTATAGACTGGCTGGTGAGGGGAAAGGTCCTGTGAGGGAGATGTCTGTGAGGAGAGGTCCTCTGAAGTAGAGGCCAGGCTAACCCTACATTCTCAAGGTCGGCCTACTGATAGAGGAATTTCCCCTCACGTGAACAGCACATGGCAACTCACAGCTTATGGAAAATTACCGTGGGGTGATTGTACAGTATTATATAAATGAAATGTATTAACCCAAATTTATGTAATTAGTATTGCCATGAGACAAGGGCAAATACACATACATACATACATACATACATACATAGAAGGATGGATGGATGGATGGATGGATGGATGGATGGATGGATGGATGGATGGATGGATGGATGGGTAAATGGATAATTAATTTGGTATTTATTAAATAAATCGTCATTACAAAATCACACTGACCTAGCATGGACATTGAAATATGCAAGTATACATAACAATGAGAAACGGTAGGTCGATTTAACCATAGCTGGATCAGGTACTGTCCCAGGAAATAAAGGAATGAGGTGGTGGGTGTGTTAACTAGCCAATATATGCAGGGGTTACTGGACTAGTTATGTTATGGTTATGAGGTAAATGGTAGAGCTAGACAAGTTCTCTGTTGTCTGTGAATAGTGTTGGCTTGGGGCTAAGTGGTGGTAGAGTCCCTACAAACTGAGAGTAGCGACAAATCGAGATTTGACGCCATCTTGAATCCACCTCTCTCTCTCTCTCTCTCTCTCTCTCTCTCTCTCTCTGCAACCAAGTGATAAGACATCGAATGTCTGCAAGTTTACATTATATAGAGTATTGACACACCAAATATCCACAAATTTTATAAATTTGTAATTAATACTATAGATAGATAAATAAATTTTCTAGATAGTATTCATTATAAATATATAATATTTGTGGATATTTGGTTTGTCAATACTCTATATACAGTAATGTAAACTTGCAGACATTCGATGTCTTATCACTTGGTGCACGTCACAGTATATATGATCAGATTGAACATAACTGTTCATATGATCTTTTGTAGAAGAGCCATCTACTCGCTTGTTCTCAAATTGATTACCCTCAAAGTGTTTCTGCAAAGTGTTATATAAAACAAGGGAAATAAATACAGCATAATCAGCGACTAGAATTTGCTCGTGCGACTTTTAATAGGCTACACGGATTCTTCATCTGTCCTTATTGTACAGCCGAAATAGCCGATAGGCGAAGTGGCCAGTATTCTCCAAACAAGCCAGCCAGTCCTTATTCCTTGTGTATCTCTTATAATTTATACTGATTTCTATTGAAAATAAGAGTGAGCGTCTCACCTAGTGAACCTGCTCACCTAGTGTAGGATCAGTGCCGGATTTAGAACTGTGGAGGACCATGGGCAGCCTATTTGTGGAGGCCCCCTCATTATAACTACCCAAGAGGGTGGAGTGGCGAGTGAAGCGATCCTAAACATCTGGGAGTTCCGGGGGGCGCTGTAAGCCCCCCGGGAAAATTTTGAAATTTGAACACTTCTTTGGAGAATTTTGAAGCCATATGCAGTTATATTGAGGAAATTAGACCATTGAGAAATTTTTAATTAACTGTATATTTATTGATAGTGTACAAATTCCCAACACACACACACGCACAAAAGCGAGACATGACTGGAGTCATTCATGTGGTTTCAAGTCGACCAGCCCTGATGTAGCTACTACCGCACATTTCAAAAATTTTCAAGAGACTTCACAGAAAAGAATATATTACTAGTTATTACAGAGAGATGATTCTTTGCATTATTAATCAGATAAACCTCTACTCAAATAATGGTTCTGTCCAAGAATCCATGTATAGGCTTCTTCAAGTCCAAGGTCAGATAGATTCAGAATAAGTACTAACTCAACTATAAATAAAATTGAAGTTTTGCATCCAATAGTAAAACAAATAAACAATTTATTGAATTTGATACAATTATAACAAAAGTATGAACATGTTGGAAAAAACAAGAATTTTAATAAAAATAACTGCCGTCGACCATGGATAATGGATATATTGAACACAAACATTGATCAATTGCAAAATAGAAAATAAAGATTCCCTTTATTTACGGACCAGGCACTTTACCTGACCAGGCCGCTGCAAAGTTTTTGATCAACTTTTCGAAGTCAATCTCTCTGAGGATGTCATATTCGATACTCATCAAAGCCAGGTGGCTGAGCCTATCATGACACATTGTAGTATGAAGTTTAATAAACTTCATTTTACTGAAAGAACGTTCTCCAGAACAATTTGTGACCATGAGCACCAAGTACACCGTAGCATTATTTCAACTTTTGGAAATGTATCTACAACTTTCTTGTCTATCAACAGCTCGTAAAGGTAATGTGCCCTCCCTTTCTCATCATCTTCGTCTTCAAGAAATTGAGTGAAGAATGCTGTAAACTGCACAAGTTCAACTCCAAGTGTTTGATCCAAATCATTTTTGTACTCAGCAACCAATTTTGCTGCAGCCGCTTCAATTTCGTCACAATTCATTGACTCCAGTTTAGACAAGAACCCGAAAAGTGAACACGTTTCCTCATAGGCCTTTAACCGTTGATCCAGTGAACTCAGGAACTGATCAATTGCTAGATGGAAATTCTGAACCCGAAATTTTTCTGACTGTGAGAGGGCTGCTTCTTCTGATCGTCCATAATCCAATGGATTGAGTCGTACATTACGTTGACGCTTGCGTGTCTGTGAATAATCCCCAGTTTCTGACATTTCCCTTCCCTTCTTCTCATAAACATGGAAGCAATCTCTTTTTTCTCGTACAAAACATTCCAAGGACTTCAGCATTGCTACTGCTGTTCAAATTGATTTTAGGATCTTGCAATGCATGGCTTGCTGCAGCAACTCTGCTAAGAATGTCATGTCATGTCAACAAACACAGCGCCCTGATGGCATTCGTAATGGAAGTGATAATGAAAAAAATATTTTATTTGTTTTTTTAATCTCAAATTTCGTTATTCCATGTAGTTCATTTTTAATCAATATATGTTTGTGGAATTCTAAATATATTATTATCAACACAAACAAGTGCATTCATTAAAAATATACTGTTCATAGGAAAACCAGGTATTCATGAATTTCAAGGAGTAGCTAGCCTAATTTCTATCACGCTTCTTGCTGAACATAAGTTTACGTGATGGAATAGATAAACATGAATTTTAAAGAATGAAAATAAAAATAATCCAAATGAATAAACAAATAAATAAAATATTGTAATATGTGGAGGCCCCTGGGCAGCTGCCCACTTTGCCCACTCCTGAATCCGGCCCTGTGTATGACAACACGGCCATAAAACATACCGGGCACAAATAAGATGATGGAGACGGTTTCCAATCCAGACGACTGAATTTGTATACCCATATTTTCCTTCTGTACAGTTTAAATCCTTCTCTGATCTATTACTACATCCGTTGGCACAGCAGCACGTCCTTATACATTACACACTGTGTTCACTTCCAACCAGGAATAGGATCTGCGTTACTCCACAGGTCAACGTGACCCGGGGGCTCGGTGGCGTCAAGATGGCGTCCAGTAAGCTGCGTTTTCTATTTAAACACGGGACCGCCTATGTCGTTACGCTCAGTATGTAGGGACTCTAGGTGGTAATGCTGAACGTGCTTGAGGTAGATGGTGGAGGAGAAGGTGGTGGTGGCACGGGGCGAGGTGGTGAGGATGAGCGTGTAGGAAGCAGGTGATGGAGGATATAGCGGTATTTACTGTAAATGAGGCGGGTCATTGAAGGGAGGTAGTAGTGGTACTGACCGTGAAGGTGGCGAGGCAGGTATTGTTGTTTTTGTGGTCGGGGAGGATGATGGTGCTGGTGATGAGGTCCTCGTGGCAGTGTAGAGATGTTCAGGTACACTGGATGGTCCACGTCCTTCAGGCGGATCACCATCTGCATGTCGGCACATAGCCGGTCCTCAGAGCCTACTAGTTCCGGCCACGCATAGTAGTATATTAAACTACACAACACCACCTGTGAAAAACACTTGAGATGCTGTTTATAGTACAGTACATATGCACATATCTATAACACCAAAAACGCATATGATATTGGATGTAACACTAATTGATACTGCATCGCCCTCATTACCACACACACACACACACACACACACACACACACACACACACACACACACACACACACACACACACACACACACACACACACACACACACTAGCCGTAACAGTGTTTCTTCTATAACGTGAGTTCGTAATTTCATCTACTAAACACGAAAATCAGTCGTGCGGTTTAATTTAGAGACAAACGGAAAAGATATGCATGAGTATGACTTATTGTATATTCATTAACTTTGCCAATACTAGACCCGCAAAGAAGTACTCGTGTATTCGGGCAGGGAAACGGAATTTTGAGGAAATAGGTAAATATTCAACAGAGATTAACCGCACAACTCTATATATATTTTTATTTTTATTTTATTTTTTTACTGGGAATAGCCCACTTGGTGCACATGTCATCGACCCACAACGGGGCCTGTGGGGCAAAAACTAAGAGTAAAAAGAAATTAAAAATAGAAGAGGAAAAGATTATATTACTCTACACCACGAAGAAACCGGAAAACCAGCTTTTTAAAGTGAGACAGAGTGTATGAGTATGGAAACACAGAAGAAGGCAGAGCCTTCCACAGTTTGGCTGTGTGAGGAAAGAAGGTTGTACTATAACGGGTTATTCTAGTGTGACCGACATCCACACAGAAACGGTGGGCATTACGGGCAAGATGAGTGTTACGAACCCACAGCCTTGGCGGCGATACACAGGATGCCAAATCCACCGAACATTGCCCGTTAAAGTACCTGTAAAAGAGAGAGAGTGAAGCAATATTGCGGCGAAGAGAAAGGGAAGAGAAATTATCAACTAAAGGAGGAGCGTTAATAAGACGAAATGCCTTTGATTTCACCCTATCTAACAGTTAGACAGAAGAAGAACCACCCCAGATACGAGAGCAGTACTCCAAGTTAGGAGGAATGAATCCCTTATAAACTTAAAGCAACTGCTCAAGAGTAAAGTTGCTACGGCATCTGTACAGCATTCCCAGCTTTCGGGAGGCAGCTTTAGCAATGTTGCGGATATGTGGTTTCCATGACATTTTTGAGGAAATGGTGAGGCCTAGTCTTTCTCTTTTAGAATTTGGCAATGATTGCATCCTGAAATGTGATTGGTGGGAGATCTTCTATTTTGGAAAGTGTAATTGGTAAATACTCTGTTTTATTACTATTGAATTTAACCAAGTTTTTACCCCCCCCATTCGGAGATGCTGAGCAGTTCCGCATTGGTAGATGAAATTATATCAGCTCTAGAAACAAATCTTGTTTGAGAATTAAAGGAAAGGGAAAAATGTGAAAAAGAGTGAAGATTAGAATCATCAGCGTAATAATAGATAAAATTAGTCATAGTGTGAAGTAAATCAGTGATAAAAAGAAGTAAGAGAGTAGGTGAAAGAACACAACCCTGTGGGACACCACTATTGGTAGAGAAAGAGCGAGAGATCGATCCCTCGATAACAACTGACATGGATCGGTTCTCAAGAAAGCTAGAAATTGGAGAACAAAGTGGGGGAGAGAAACCATAAGAGGGAAGTTTAGAAAGCAAAGAGAGGGAAAAAATACTTCAAAGCGTTTTCGCCACAAATTTATGTTTTCGATTTATTTTTACTTTCCGATTTCACTTAAAAGGGTACAATTTTGATCACACAATTTGAGCACGGCTTTAAAATAGAGGAAAATTGTGGAGTAAAACACGCAAAAAACTGCCAAAATGAAACGTAACGAAACCTAACATAACCTACCTTTGTCATTGGCAATTTTGTGTCATTTCGTAACGTGTGAAGAAAACCCTCTAAATTGTGCTTTCTTTAGTGAAATAGAGAAGTCATTATAACTCGAAAATTATATATTTATGACTCAACCGTGGTTGGTCTCTACAGAATCTTGGCAATGGGATGTTTATCTGACTACACTCTTACTATCAGCTGATTGTCTTCTTTGAACTTTAAACCAATTCCCCGATTCCCCTGAGCCCCGAATCCCTGAACTCCCTGAGCTCCTGAATCCCCGAATTCCTGAATCCCTTGCTGATCATAAGGAAACCATATTTCTAAATAATGAACACAGATTTTCTCATACCTTACGATAATTTTATAAGTAATGACCATTAGTATAAACATATGAAAAATGCACGGAATTTCAATGAACTTGGGAGATAACGAACAGTTAAGTCCTAAAGAAATGTTAATATTAATCATAACAGTAGTAACGATAATTTTAATATTAAAAACAAATTATAACAGCGATATAATAATAATAATAATAATAATAATAATAATAATAATAATAATAATAATAATAATAATAATAATAATAATAATAGTAATAATGATAATAATAATAATATTTATAATAATAATAACATTATTATTATTAAAACGACCACAAATAACATAGTTGAGAAAATATTATGAAATAATAAGGGAAGAAAACTTAGATCTCATTTACAGATGATTTACATCAACTTAAAATCCGCGTAATTTTGAGGTTAAAAGTGACAAGAGTAAAAAGCTTAGTTCTACCAGCTTATATTGGCAAGAACGAGCGTAGGCTGCGTACATTACGTTGCAAGAGAAGCTCCAAAAGTGGCTGGTAGCGAAAGTCAGAGCGTGGAAGATGACAGGGGAAGAAGCTTTTTAACTATACCAGCTGAGGTTAACAGTGGGTGACGTGCGTAGGTGTACTTGATAAGGTTCGCGGTGATGCGCGTAAGAAACAGACACACAGGCCCTTCAGTGAGCGTCTCTCTCTCTCTCTCTCTCTCTCTCTCTCTCTCTCTCTCTCTCTCTCTCTCTCTATACAGTAATAGGTATTTTACTATTTGTTATATCAGAACATTAACCATTTCATTTAGCCAATAATGCCGTCCTTATATCGGAACATTAAGCACTTAGAGGATATGTAACCTAACTCTAACCACAGGAAGACAAAGTTCCGATATTGTGGCGTTAACGAAAAACAGCAACTACGGAATCGTTTGTTATCATCATATTACTGTACGCGACTCAAAATGAATATTGGGAAATATTCTGCAGGTTTATATATATATATATATATATATATATATATATATATATATATATATATATATATATATATATATATATATATATATATATTATATAACACTGAGCAGTCCTATTTTATATAATGCATAGGGGTTTATATAACAAGTGGAGACTGGCAAGTTTCTCTTTCTCTCTTTTCTCTCTCTGAACATCCAGTGTGTTTGGTTAATATGCAGTTTGGTTTAGGAGTAGTTTGGTTATGCGTAGTTTGGTTTAGGCATAGTGTGGTTTATACGTAGTTTGGCTAATGCATAGCTTGGTTTATGCGTAGCTTGGTTTATGCGTACTGTGGTTTATGCGTAGTTTGGTTTATGCATAATTTGGTTAATGCGTAGTTTGGTTTATGCATAGCTTGGTTTAGGAGTACTGTTTTATGCGTTGTTTGTTTAATGCGTAGTTTTGTTTAAGCGTAGTGTGTAATATGGGTAGTTTGTTTAATGCGTAGTTTGGTTTATGAGTAGTTTGGTTTATGGGTAGTTTGGTTTGTGCATAGTTTGGTTTATGCGTATTTTGGTTTGTGGGTAGTTTGGTTTATGCATAGTTTTGGTTAATGCGTAGTTTGTTTTATGCATAGTTTGCTTAATATGTAGTTTGGTTTATGCATAGTTTGTTTAATGCGTAGTTTGTTGAATGCGTAGTTTGGTTTATGCGTAGTTTGGTTAATGCGTAGTTTTGTTTAGGCATAGTTTGGTTTATGCGTAGTTTAGTGTATGGCTAGTTTGGTTAAGACGTAGTTTGGTTTATGAGTAGTTTGGTTTATGCGTAGTTTGGTGTATGGCTAGTTTAGTTTCGGAGTAGTGTTGTTTAGACAGGTAAGCTCAACTGGTGCATATGATTGCATATGCTTAATCTGTATATTGCCACGTTTGGTCTTTGTACATGTGTGTGTGTGTGTATAATTATGATGTATGCGGAAGTTATATTCAAATATTTTTATGTGTGTATATGCTGTGTGCGTGTATATATGTATGTTAATTTGTGAGTGTATTTTTACATTTGTGTGCAGTTGTGTGCATGTGTTTGTGTATATTTGTGTGTATGTGTATACTTGCATATTTGTGTATGTGTACGTTTGTGTGTATTATTTTATATATGTAATAAGGCTAACAGAGTCCGAGAGTAACATCTAGAAACATTATGTAGTAACAGGAGGAGCAGCATTAATTTACTGTGTTAATCAGTTTTGATCACCGTATTATAGAATGGATATACGAGTATATTCCCTAGAAAGCACTCAGAAGAGGATGGCAAAGCTAATCCAGGGCATTAGGAGCCTCAGGTATAGAGACAGATTAAAAAAAACTGAATTTGAGAAACGTAAAGTAAGGGTCGATATAATCCAAGTGTGTAAATGGAGGATGGGGTTAAATACAGGCGATATAACTAAGGAGCGAACGCATATTAATGGTTTAATTTGACAGAAATTTAGATTTAAGAAGGGAATACGTAAACATTAGTTCGGATAAATAGTAGTGGATGAATAGAATAAGTTACCAAACACCATCATTAACTTGAACTCGCCAGGAAGCTTCAAATGTAGGTTGGACAGATATGTGAGTGATAAGGGTCGGGTGTAAACAGCAGATGCCTACAGCATAGGGTCAATCGGCCCGCTGCGGTTTCCTCCATTGTTATGTTCTTATGTATGAGTATTTGAGTACATGTACACTTATGTATATTTGTGTATGTATACGTCACGTGTATTGTCTATATGTAATTGTATACGTTTCTGTGTACCTGTATGCATGTACATGTTTATGTGCATTTGTGTATATGCATATGTTTATATCAATGTTTGTATATTTGTGAATGCGTAATTTTATGTATATTTTTTAGTGTGTTTTGTGGTATTGAAAATACAAGCAGCACTAATGAAGGAGAGCAAACAACAACTCACGGACATCAAGTCGGGGTGGAAGTGGTGTAGGTGGATGGTGAGATTGTGAGGTTGTTCGAAGAAGACCAGGCAGGTGTAGGGGTGGTGGAGAGGGTCGTCGGGGGACCCTTCAGGACACATGAACCCCACGGCAGGTAACTCGGAGTCCTCTACTTTCACCGTCGAGTTACAAGGAATGCACCTGGGGCCTGGTGCCGTGTCTGTGTGGGCCGCCCTTGTCTTGTCTACACCCACCAGCACCCACCACACCACCCACAGGGATGACAAAGCCTTTATTAATGTCCTTAAATTGGGTCCTGGACTCTTAGGGTAAAGGTAATGCTGATCCCCGTCACTAACACGTGCGTGGAACTCTTTCAACATGTTTTTTTTTATTAAGCGATGTTGTGTAAACCAAACATTAGTCACTGGAATATTGATTCACTCATAACTGATATTTGTTGTGGGTGAGGCTAGTTTTCTGTACAATTATCTTGACTTCCAATTTTTTCCCAGCAGTATACTACAGTTTCGCTCTCAAATTACTGCATCTTGATCATCAAAGTAACTGTAATAGTTAATTCGTGATTACACGTAGTGTACCACAAGTAATAATGTCGAGCTCGTTTCTGCACCTTAATTGTTGGGTTATGTGACGTGGTGATGGTGGTGCAGTAGTACAGTAGTGGCGTAAGTAAGTCAGCGTGAGGTGAGACAGCGGCGTAGACTCCTCGACTAGCTCTGTCGACAGTGCTGCCGCAGCAAGACTGACGCTTGTCAGCCGTTGGGGACTCGGGGCCGCTAACTGGACAAACACGCGCGCCCTGGAACATGTTGCCAGGTCTCTCTACACTCCCCTACAGTACTTGATGTATTATTATTATTATTATTATTATTATTATTATTATTATTATTATTATTATTATTATTATTATTATTATTATTATTATTATTATTATTATTATTATTATTATTATTATTATTATTATTATTATTATTATTATTATTATTATTATTATTATTATTATTATTATTATTATTATTATTATTATTATAAATCCCTTTCGATAGTCAACGCCTGAAGCAAAACTCTCCTCAAATGTGACGAATTACACACGTGTGGTTTCGTGATTTAGGTAGTTGAATAAAAAAGAGTATTATCTTACCTTATTTACCTAATGGCCACCAAAACTAGAGGTGGCCAAGTCGAGGGAAAGAGGCCAGTGGCTTTTGTGGGATCCCTCCATGTTCTTAATAGTCTTGTGAAGGAGAGTTGTACAGTATTTTAAAGTCCAGTATGACTCGGCAAGCGAAAGGATATAAAAACATCAAATGAGAATACAGCATAATTCTGTATTAGAAAAGAAAGTACAGTATATATTAATAAATCAGAACTCTATTCATTATACGTCTTTGCAACCCTCGCTATATTATAGATGGTATATATTATATCTGAAGTATACATCCTTATGTTTAACTTACAGAAAAAAGACTGTTGCTTCAAGGAGACGTTTACGTAAACAAAATTGGTTCTGGTTTCTATGATAAGGCATGTTAACAAAACGAAGATTTTATCTGGGGATGAAATTAAACATTTTCCACGTTTGTCATGGAAATTCATCACCATAGTAACATAAATAATAGAGTAAGTGGATAATAAAATCTATCTGGGGTGTCTTTAACTGGTTGTATGTCGCCAAACTCTGCGTAACTATAAGATGAACTAAATCTCGGGGTAACTTGTTAAACTGAATCCAGGAAAGAAAGTCACAGAAAAAAGTCACAGGAAAAAAGTCACAAGAAAAACAGTCACAGAAAAAAAGGCACGGAAAAAACCTAACCTAACCTAACCTAACCTAACCTAACCTAACCTAACTTAACCTAACCTAACCTAACTTAACTTAACCTACGTGCATCATATACAAATTGTGTTGTCAATATGTAAAAGTCATGTATTGTCAGTTAATAACTGTTTTAAAATAGTTATAGTTTTATTACCTTAATTTAAATAAAATGTGACTTTTTTCCTGTGACTTTTTTTTCCTAGCCAAAATTGTGACTTTTTTCTGTGACTTTTTTTCCGTCCACCGTTAAACTACAGGTATATTAGGAAGACATTCCATATAACTCTAGCAATTTCAATTCTAAAGTTCCTGAAGTCTGTGGTGACTAATAACTAGCATCCTCTTTATTCACACAATGATATAAATAAATGCATAAATTATAAATATACACTAATGTATGAAATACAGAATGATATAGAGAATATGATTATTGTATATAAAATTAAAAACATTTACACTCCATTAAAAAAAAATGCTGTTACTTTATGTGGACAGAAAATATGCCGTTTCCTGCTCACTGATAAATAATTATCTACCTGAAGAATTTTTCTGATCCACCGGCAAGTATAATGAACTTTTCAGGTCAGTTACTGAGAACTTTGTAGCTTACCAGTTTGTATCTGTTTCGAGTGAGCGTTCCAGCGTTGGTTGTGGATTCGCAACTTGAACGTTTTTTGTTTGTGACGTCATTTCTGCCGCGTCCGCTCGCTT